GTGCCAGAAGCTTTAAGCAGAACAGGACCTCCAGAAATGGTAGTTCTTGATTTCTTCAAACACTGTTCAGGAAACACTGGCCCGTGTGCTCAGCCTTGGATAGTGAAAATGGTTATTGCTTGGCTGCCAGAGGCAGGGTGGGAGAAAGACCTGGCAGTAGACCACCAGAAGTTCAGCCATTGCAAACCCTATGTCAGAATTGACTCACAGGCATAGGGGTAGAACTGCCCCTGTCTGTGTAGGATCTGTAACACTTTACAGGAGTAGAAAGCCCCATCTTTCTCCCAAGGAGCACCTGGTGGTTTCGAACCGCTGACGTTGTAACCACGATGCCACCATACCAGCTAAAATAAAAGTACAAATTCTCGCTTTCACAATGCTCTTATTTGAACTGGTATTTGAGAAACCCATCTCTGCGTTGGCTACATCACCTAAAGGAAATGGTCGCTGTATATGTTGACTGAAATGCTCATGTCACACATGTAAGTGATAGGCAAGCTATTAAAATCTCCCAATTCCCGCCCTGTTATAATTTCCAACTAAAACCACTTGTCTACTCTTGGTAGTCTCTGAGAGAGGGCTAGAGATTGACTTTTTGAACTTCGGGGTAAAGGTTGTCATTTTAATCTCATCTTTTTTCCCCCTTCCAGGTGCATGCTCCGAGTCTTGGACTCATTTGGCACGGAGCCCGAGTTCAATCATGCTAATTATGCCCAGTCCAAGGGCCACAAGACCCCCTGGGGGAAATGGAATCTAAACCCACAGCAGTTTTATACCATGTTTCGTGAGTATGCATGTTTTATGTCTGCTTTGTAGAATGCCCCCAAGGTGGCGGAGTTTCACCTACTTCCATTTGGACTGTGATTCTTGGGACTCTTGCCTATTGAGATGAACACCCATGGCCGTTTTGCTTGGAATGAGTGGAATTCCTTGTATTGGAATTGCAAGGCCAAGGAAGCGGTATGTGAACCACTTTGGAGATGCTGTGCAGGGAAAAAGCTTACTGGGAAGGATCAAGAGAAAGCAGTGGGGAAGGGACTGTGGGCTCGTGTTGGAGCGGCATGCTCTAGCAAGGGCGGTGCCACCGCTGTTGGGTAGGTGTGATTTCTGCTATTCAAGACTCTTATTTCCAAATGGTTAAACTGTAATTATTTTAAGTATCAAACCTTTCTTTTTTAAAAAAATAGCTTTTAAAAAGCGGACTCATTTTAAACTCTGCTTCATACTGTACTGGTCCCCGAGTGAAATGTGGCCCTGCCTTGCCGACTTGACTTTACTGGGGTCAATAGCAGTCATTGTCATGTGAGATAACGTGGGGGTAGAACCCCCCAGAGATGATGGTGAGCCAGCGTTCTTAAACTGTTTCCATTTTTATAGACCGATGTTCTATAGTCAGAGAGCTTACTTTCCCTTGGTTTTCATCTTCTGACTACGTCATGGAGCCCTGTGATAATCACAGAACCAAGTTTGGTAGTGCTGGTGCCAACCATAATCTTCCTGATGGGTGGCGTGGTGTCTGCTGGGGGAAATGAAGTGGAGGAGTGAACTTGGATGGTCAGTGTGAGGAATGCCCGTCTTCTCAACTGACTAGAATGCCACTCTCCACTCAGTCGTTGCTCTCAGAGAATTCGTTTCTGACCTGTGACTGTTTCCTTTGTTGAATCAGACCCAGGGGACCCATGTCTTGGAGGACCACCATGTGGTTGCCCTTCCTTCAGGTATGCAGCCCCCTGAAGGTGACTCTGGCCCCAGACTCAGTAAAAGGGCCATAAAAAGTAGTTTGACCTAATCCTGGTATTTTAGGTCTGGGAAGGGAGAATTAAGAAAGAGTCAAGAAAATGGAAGAGCGTTTTTTTTTTTTTTTACCTAAAATTTGTTTTGTACCTGGAATTTTTTTTTTCTTGGAGGGATCTGAGAGCAAGCCATAGGCATTATACACATGATAAGCATTGTTCTTGGGACTGAATCATTCTGCTACTACACCCGGTCCCCAGGACACAGTCTTTCGGGTAGCCTTGCATTGGGTGTTGAGTTGGTTAGGTTATTGTGCCAACCTGGCCAATAAATACATGTGGGGTTAATTGAAGGGCAGAGAGATAAATGGTTCTCGGGGCTCTTGCTTTCTGATGGTCAGACCAGAGTGCCTTAGCCAGTTCCCTGCTTCAGCTTGTAAGGCTGACTTCCTTCAAAACATTCCCAAGGAGAAGCCACATGGACCTACCCCAATGTATCCCTGGGTGCTGGAACAGCCTTGTGGAGACCCATGCCAGTGCTGAGATGTTTACACGTTCACTGACTCGGCTTTCCTCCTGCAGGCGGCATCATTGTGTGTGTTTTGTGAGATGGAGGAGGACCTTGTGGATTGTTGTTGGACATATGGGTTAATGGATTAATGTTGGACTTGTGGGCTTGGGCAGCACTGGGTTGGGATCTTTTATTGATGCGCACTTAACCTTTATGTAAAACTCTCTCTTATACTGGGTTTTTGTGGATTTGTTTCTTCAAAGTACCCAGACTCACACAGGTGTATTCAATGGCAGATGGCTGTCAGCACAGTGAAGTATGCTCAGTAGTTTTCGGGTGGCTTGATTATGCTGAGTGAATTGGGACAAATGAGTCTAAGAAGTGGCCTGTACTTGTCAGGGGACCGCATTGCAAACTCTACCCCTGATGGCCCTAACTTCCTGAATGGCATGATGCATATGTGCCCATCAGGTACTTTGCTGGGAAATGTTTCCAGAGGGTTGAGAGTCTGCGTCCTGCAAATCTATTCCATCCATGATGGATGGAGGATTTCCACTGTGTTGGGTGATTGAACTAAAAGAATCTCGCTGCTTAAAATCGAACCCCAAATCCCACTGTCGTTTAGTTAATTCCAGCTCAGGATTGCCAAGGCTATAAATACTTGCAAGAGCAGGCAACCTCATCATTCTCCTTAGGAGCAACTGGTGAGTTTGAACTACAGACCTTGGGGCTTGTCCAAGCATGCCACCATAGAGTAATTCCATTTGAACCTTATGTGGAGATAACTTTCTTAATTATGATGCAGGATTCAGCCAGCATGACAGAGGAGTTTGTTTTGGTTTTGGTTTTTGACACATTTGACTTAAAAATGAAAAGAGCTGCATTGTGATGATAGCAAAAATAACACGAAATAATAGTTGCATTGTAATAAGGAAATAAATAAGACCATGCACAGATGATACCAGAGCAGAGGGTTAATATCACTATTCCATAAATTCTAAAAATTGAGAAGAAAAAAATCTAAAATCCAATGGAAAGTGGGCAAAGGCTACAAATATAAGGGAAGATAAATCCGTGGCCCCAAACAAATGAAACCAGTATTACGTCAAACACGATGGGAGAAATGCATGTAAAACTACACTACGATGCTATGTCTCATAAACTGAATTGGCGAAAATGCCACAGCATAGCTATCATGTGGGTGATACCAGGAAAAGCAGGCTGTCTGCTACCCTGGCAGTGGGCCTGGAATACTCTCCTCTGGGTGAGTACTTGTCTTACTCTAGCAAAACTGTCTATGCATCTTGCTTTTTTAAAATGAGCAGTTCCAAAGTTTGTGCACCTTTCCCAAAGATACAGGTGCAACCATACGAAAATGGTATGTCCTCTGTTTCCAGTAGGGAATGGCCAAAAGTAATCTAGATATTGTTAACAGCACTGGTGGATAGGGATTCACAGGAAAGTACTGCATTGAGGGAGGGGGTAAGAGGAGCTGATATCAAGGAGTTCAAGAAGAAAGAAAATGTTTTGAAACTGATTGTGGCAGCAATCGTACAATACTGCTTGATGTGACTGAACTATGGAATGTTATGATATCTGTAAGAACCCCCAATTAAATGATAAATAGAAAAAACATACTTTTAGTATTATTCACCAGAAACATAAAAAAAAAGTACTTTACTGTATTGCAAATGTATTGCACTACAGTAAGATACTGTCGCTGGAGAGAGGGATAAGGAGTGTCTCCCTTGCTATGGAAATCCAGGTGTAGACCAATGTATAAACGTATTCCCCTCTCTGTAAGGAAGGAGGATAGAAAGGGGGTGTGTGTACGTGTGGGAGTGCGTCAGTTTATTACGTCAGAAGAAACAGTGGAAGGGTGAATAATGAACTAATTCCGATGATCACCTTGGAGGAGGGAAGTACAGGGAGAGGTGTAGAAGGTGTAGTTGTTAAGTGTTGTCTAGTTGTGTGTTAGTCTGGACTGATTAGAGAAACAAATCCAGAGATACTCATATATGTGTAAGAGACAACTTTATATCAAGAAGTAATTATGAATCCATAAAACATCCCAGCCAAGTCCATAATTTCGATATTAGCTCATAAGTCTATTAGCCCATGGATCCTCTTCAGACTCATGCAGCACCTGCAATAATGCCAAGTGCAGCAAGATCACAGGCCAGTGGGTAGAAAGTCCTCTGGGTCCAGTGGCTGTGGAAGCATCTCCAGGGCTCTGGCTGCCATCAGCGTGGTTCCATGTGCCTTGTCAACAGGAATGTGTAGCAGAGAGAAGATAGTGTGCCCCGCCTCTAGGGGAGGAAGGTAGGAGTTCCCAGAATCCTCAGGAGTAGGCCATGCCCACCCAGAGGCATCATTGACTGTGACCTCATTGACAGGCTAGACTCCACCCCTTGGTTGAAGTTGACAGGAGATTATATAATGGCTACAGGTTGGTTCCAGTTCATAGCATCTCCTTGTACACCAAAGGGAAACCTTACCCAGTTCTGTGCCAGCCTCACGATGCTTGCTGTGCTTGAGCCTATTGTAGCAGCCACCGTGTAACTTGTCTTGTGGAGGATCTTTTTTTTTTGTTTTTTTGGCTGACCTTTTGCTTTACCAAACACGGTGTTCTTTTCAGGAAGTGATCCCTCCTAATACCCTGTCCAAAGTACAAGAAACTAAGTCTTGCCATCCGGGCTTCTATGGAACGTCCTGGGTGTACTCCTTTTTTTTTTTTT